TGGGGGAATACTGAATGTGAAATAGCTGAGGAATATCCATTTCTAATGATGAACTGGAGATCAGGAAAGACCAGGCTGGATATACAGATTTGGGAATGATGTTCATAGAGATGATAATCGAACCCCTGGGAGCTAAAGAAATCACCAAGCAAGAGAGAATATAGAATGAAAAGAGAAGAAGGCCCTGAATAGAGGCTTAGGGGACACACATGGTCAGTAGGCATGATCTGAATGAAGACCCAACAAAAGAGACGAAGAAACAACAGCTAGACATGAGACAGCAATGTCATGAAAACCAAGAAAAGTTAATTTAATGGAGAGGTTATAAGGAATGAGCATGGATTTATGAATAATAATAATAATCACGCCATTTCCTATTTTTAATAGTTACTAGAATGGCAGAACAGGATAATGCTGTAGTCATAGCATTAGTGGAATTCAACAAAGCAATTGACAAAAACTATTACAGTATCTTTGTAAATGAGATGGAGCAAAAAAGATGTCTCTATTTCAGTATGGTTAGGTGAATTCATAAATGATTTAAAGACTATATCCAAAAAATATGAATTTTAAAAATGTCAAGCTTGAGAGAAATCTCAGGGCTCTCTCCCTCGTCCCTATGATTCTCATTTTTATTAATATTTTGTATAAAGACGTAAGTGCAATACTCATCAAAAATATAGATGATATAGGTCTAAGAAGGTATAATATATTTCTTGGATGAAAGAATGAAGATCCAAAAATCTCAACAAGATGTGATAGTAATCCAAATCAAAGAACATAAAATTTAAATAGGGTAATGGTCCTTTACTCAGGTTCAAAAATTCAACTGTACAAAGCACAGGTCCTGGGTTATATGGCCAGAAAAGAATTCATATGAAAAACACTTTGAGGATAAAGGAGTTGGTAAGCTAATTTAATTTTTGCTTGTCAATGGACCTTTCCGGCAGGTCCCCAAATGACAAATACATCAAAGTAATCTGATCCTTTCTGCGGCAACTTAAGAAATGTTGACCCCTGCTGTTCAGACTATTTTAAGTCCATGAATGGTAGCATAGTAAAATATAAAGAATACTGGATTTGGGGTTAGGAGCCCAGCCTGGGTTCAAATTCCAGTTCTTCTGCTTAGTTTTACAAGCCTGGGCAAGTCACTTAACCTCTCTATGCCTCATTTCCTCTGGAGGATTGAACTAGATGTCCTCTGAGAATCCTCACAGCTCAAAAATCTACAATCCTATGATCCTATATACCAGGAGTGGGGAACCTGTGACCTTGAGGCCACATGTGGTTCTCCATGTCCTCAAGTGCATCCCTTTGACTAAATCCAAACTTCACAGAACAAATCCAAGTTGTTGGATTACAACATGAATAATAATAAGTCATGCCATTTCCTATTTTTAATAGTTACAAGAATGGCAGAATAGGATAATGCTGTAGTCAAAGCATATGTGAAATTGTTGGATTACAACTTGGATTTGTTCTGTAAGGTTTGGATTCAGTTAAAAGGACTCACTTGAGAACCTAGAGGACCACATGTGGCCTCGAGGCCACAGGTTCTGCATTCCTGCTATACACATTTTCTGCATTAGAAACAAAGTCAGAAGAACAAAATGATTAAGAGTCTACTGACATCTAGTGGTCTTATATTAGTTTGATTTTTATTTCTAAAACATCTCTGATAATGGCCAATGGAGAGGGATGACATTAAGAAATATTTTTAATAAAATGGAAAAGTACTGTTAGCTTATAACTGTACCTATTATTATCCTTCTAATATATGATTCCCCCATATCTATGACGAGCCCATTTGGGTAACAAAGTTTGCTCAAAAAAATTGAAAATAAAGCACAAATTTTAATTGCCCGAGGGCTTTATTAAATATACCCAACTGTGTTTTCTATACAAAGAGAAATGAAAAAGAAACAAAACATACAAAACTGAGCTTAAGTTGGCAGTCTGTGGCACTTAAGATTAAAGTCAAGAATCAACTGTTGTTAAACAACAAAATGAGTTACTAAAGAAATGTCAAGGTCTTGTTTTGGATTTTTACAGAAGAAAAATTATCATCTGTATTACTTTAAAACAAAACTGCCTAAAGACCCCCCCAAAAAAATAATATCAGCTCTAAAGTTCTTTATTAACCTGCTTATACAAAACTGGAGGAACTTACTTTTTTTTTAAACATCCTAGGGATTCTCAAAATAAGAGATCTTCAAAAGGCTACCTCATCATCTCCTGTGCCTTGGTGAATAACAAATATTTTTAAAAGATGACTCAGAAGATTGTTATTTGGTTTTAGGAAATTAGATCTAAGCCTAGAACTACAGTTGACTAGACTCCTACAGTAAGCTGTGCAAAGGAAATAGTCACCAATATTCAACAACTCAAAAAAAAATTGACATGGAGATAATCAACAGCAGATGATACAGTATTATTAGGTGAACCCCTGGTGACCTGAAAATAATGGCAAAAGTTTGGAATTATATCATGTAAACTACAACTATACATATTTATCTGATGATAGAGTGTGATGTTCAATGAAGATGTAGCTGGAGTAAGAAATATTTTGGGAAGCTGATAAACATACTGTAGAATCAGTGTTGTAGACTCTTTAGATTCATGTGGCTAACTCACCAACTGATAAAAGAACATACATTCTATAAAGAAGAAGAAAACGGACCTAAAATAAAAATAAGTGCATTCTAACAAGACTTCATAATAATCTTTTTCATGGAATCACAGAATCTTATAGTTAGAAGAAAACTTAGAGCTTTCTAGTTCAACCCTCGAATCTCAAAAAAATGAAGAAAATGAGTCCTAGAGATGTTGTGACTTCCCCAGCGTCATCAAATAGCTAATTAGGAGATGAGCCCTAGACTAGAACAGAGTTCCTGATTTTATTTACTATGGTTTTTCTCATTTCACCATATTACAATTCAGAAAACAGTTGCTGAATGTATTCTTTCACGTTTTACTTTTCAAGCAGCAAAGGACAAATCTACATGAATGCTATCTTATAAGCAATTATGTACTGAATTTTGGGCCCAATTTTCATAAAAATACTGATCACTGGCAGACTAAGTATTCAAGTTAGCCCAAGTATTCCCTACAAATAGCAGTTTCCATGGAAACAGCTGTCATGACAACCATTTTTTTAAACCACTTGACTTCTATATTGGTTTTTTGCCCCCTCAATACTTTAAAACTACTTGAACTGATTTCTTACCTTTTGCATAGAGACACAAACACAAATTAAGAAGATGTTCTGTTAACATAGAACCTTTTAAAAACATTTTATACAGTTTAAGATTTTAATTGTTCTCCTGTCTATTTTACTACTAAGTGATTTGGGCTGTGAAGGAACTACAAAGTAAATGCTAATTAAATATTTTGCTAATTTTAAAAAGAATACAGGAAAATAGTTATCATGGGCATATTCCACCATTACACTGTCTCCATGACAATATGAAATGTCATTAATATATTCTAATCAAATTCCACCACAATGCCATGAAAACTACTATTTGTCTAAGTAATCCTGATGTCATTGCTCCTCTTCAAGAACGAAGAACAACTAACCACCTAAGATGTAAATGAAATAATCAAGGATAACCCAAACGGCATTACCTCAACAATCACCCTACTTACCATCCCGCTTATAACATTATTCCTATGAAAAGAAAATCCTCCCCCTTTACCCCCACAATGTAGCCTCAATTAATGTTGTACTCATGGAAACAATGAACATTTGGCAGAATGCACCTATAAATGCAGGCAGATGCACATTTCTTTGTTTAAAAAAATTTCTACTGATAACTATCAAGACCAGCCTTCAGAAAGCAATGGCAGGAGTATGACTGTTACAAAACCACTTGTCAGAAGAGAACTAACAAAAATTGTCCAATATACATCTGGGCCACCAAAATGTTCATTCCAGGAAAAATCCAATATTAATAGTTGAATTTCACATCAGAATATTTTTAATTTGAAAGGGTTCGTGCTGTTCAAAGGTAAAAAATATTCAGTTACATGTAAAAAATTCATGTTTTAAGAAACATGTTTAAACAATGTTTAACCATTAATTTGAAAATATATACTTGACACTATGGAATATGTTTATTGAGCCCATACTTTTAAAATATATTATAATAAATTATTCATCTTTGCATTCTTTTAAGCACTTAAGACCCAGTTACAGGCCTCTTACAAACCAGTAAGAAGTAAGATAAATACCAGATCATGATACAGGAGCCACTGTTTTTAATATAATACAAAATTATACAGATATTTTTCTACTCTTTAGATGACTAAAATAAAAACTTTGATATTATGAAAACAATATTATCAATCTGCACTTTTAATTACCAATACTTATCATGTGGTAAATGGAAAATGAGATTCATATATCCTTTTCAGCTTCTATCTCAAGTTAGGAGAGGTAACACCCAAAACAGATCAAATGTCAGTACCTCTTTCTGTGTATGTCTTTTCAGTAGGATTCCTGGGAAGAACTGGTAGCAGTAGAAAGAATTATACTGTGGGCTTTATACAGAATCTTCATTCAGTTACATCCAACAATAAACCCAAAAACCTTTCACTATTATTTACCTTTAATGAAAATGGGTATTTATAAAATCCAGCTGTAAAAAAAAAAGTGTTTGAACACCCATTTTAAATGAGACAAAAAGCATCACATGAAACTAACAGCATTCATACAATAGTGCAGTTACAATGAGATTCCCATAGAGGGAATGTCAAGCATGAATCAGCTACAAATAGCAAATTAAACCAATATATTCAGTACACTTAGTTTTCTAAATGTTCAAAATATGACTTTTTTATATCAATCATCAAATTATTACTTTATGCGGGTTACATTAAATAGATACTTTATACAAGATCAATTTATACAGAAAATAAATTTTCCCCTTAACCATAAAAATAACTTTAGTACAGGACACAAGACATAGAATTAGTTATACTTCACAATCAAACCTTACCACTTTTTTAAAATCATCTTCAGCTTCATCAAGTTTTCCTTGTTTAAGTAGTAAATGACCTCTCTGTAATCGTGCCTAGAAAAAAAAAGTATCTTAAATATTTTAAATTTCTAAATTCTTATTAAATCCTACAGGGTTTAAGGGGAGAAGGATGGTAGTGATGAGAGAACTTTTAATATTTTCCCCAAACTAAATAATGAAACAAAATCCATGTTGAGACTCTTTTTTTAACTTCCTATGTACCCGTGTCTGGGTTCTGAAGGGGTCTATAGAATCATAGATCTAGAACTAGTAGAGACTGAATTTTTTTATTTGCATTTCTTCTGATTTTTAGAACTTCAACTTTTCACTTCCATACTAACAGTTATATACTTCAGTATTTTTTAAAGTTCTAGAAATAGGCATTTCTGAAATATGTCAATAAAAATTCTGATAAACCAGACCAATCACAGAATCAACATTCTTTGACAGTTGACAGACAAAAACCAAAGTTAAAGTTCTCTTTGAAAATGTTAAGTAATACAATCACCCAGCATTATCCTTGACACCTCATTTTACCCCACCCCATGCATCCTGTCAGCTGCCAAATCATGTAGTCTCCACCTGTACAACATCCCTTGTATCCATCACCATCTTTGCCTGGACTACTAAAATAGCCTCCTAATTGGTCTTTTTGCCTCAAGACTTCCTGTCTCCAACCTATCCTCCACATAGCTATCAAAGTGATTTTCTATTTTTTTTTGTCAAATGCCATATTTTATAATGTACTTAATTATTAGTATGGTAGTACACATATATGATTTCTAAATAAGTAAATACATATATATTAGAGGTGTATGCTCAAAATCTTGTCACTGATGGAGTACATAATTCGAAAAGTTCATAGGCCATTGCCTCAGTACCTTACAACTATATATAATTCTGGGCTATAACGGCTTTTGCTCTAAGTAAGATAAATTAAAATTGAAAAGATTTATCTATAACTTATAATTCATATGCTTTCTTTCAAAGTTTTATATTATTTATTAATTCTTCAGTGGTTTTTTTTCCTAATCACTTTAAAAAGCAATCTGTATAAAAACACCAAAATGTATACCCAAGGCAAAGGCCCTGTGTTATTTTATTAATGCCTTGGATGAAGACATACTTGTCCAATGTGAAGATGACAAAAGACTGGGATCAATAATTACCACAGTGCATGATCCAAGAAACTGGGGTTGGAATGCTTTTAAGATGAAATCTATTAGGAATAAATAATAAATCCTACATTCGAGATCAAAGGATCATTTGCAAAATTACATGATGGTGAAACCACAGCTCAACAAAAGTCAATGTGAAAAAGATCTGTGAGTTGTAATGGCCTGTATAAACTGGCAGCCAAAGAACACAAAAGTGATCTCCAGTGCACTGAGAAAAGCACCAAAATTAGAGAGGCAACAGATCTCCAGGGCTTCACCGAAGTCATACCTATGTGGAGCATTGTGATCAGTTCTGGATAACGAATTTAGTAACAATGTTGGGCAATCTGGGTAAGACTATGGAGTGCTCAAAATGCTTTTAAATGCATAAAATACATAAGATTATAAAGGAAACTAATTCTATTTGTGTAAATATATATTATATATACATATATATGTACATACACACACACACACACACACACACACACACACACACACACACACACACCCCTTTGCATACAAATTTAAGGACTCCAATTACAGAACCCTTTGCTGCCTGATAGAAGACAACCAGGCCAGAGCCTTGAGGTCCTATCAGATGTGAATTTAGTTGAAGGAAGCGGGGATGTTTTGTTCAGAAAAGAGATGACTTAAAGCAAAACATGAGAGCTGTCTTCAAGTATTTATAAGAATACCTGCCAGAAGAATAAGGACTGGGCCTGTAACATTTCTTCTAGAAGGGCAATAGGTGGGCTTTCAACGAGGCCATTTCAGACTTGCAGTTTGTTCCCTTCACCACCATCCAAACTACTCAAATACCATTCTTCTTCTAAGTGTATATGCACCTCTGCTCCATTTTCATGCCCCAAAACAGAGAGCCTATCAATAACCTATTAAAACTTGAAAATATTATACTGCTAAAATTCACAATAGTCCACTATTTTAAAAATTAGCAACATGTTTTTAAATCACAAAACTAAGAAAACTATTAGCCAGTTGAACTGTCTCATGCAAAATGTGTTTCAGTTAAGCTTAAGTTAAAGCCTCAAAAGAAAAATTTGGCCACCTCATCCTTTCTGCAACAATAGCTGGATTTTATAATAAGACTATCTATACTATAATTTATATGTTTTTGATGCTATAAAATTCTAATCACAGTAAGTAGAACTTCTGTTAGTAGTCTCTCTCTGGCAAATGGTATTACTGACATCTTCAACTTTTTTTTTAATCATAGTTGAGATCCCAAATACTGTCTTAAATGTTTCTTCCAACTAAAAATGTCACACGTGCCAACATTTTCAGAGATTAATTGTGCAAATATCTTGCAAAAACTATTTTGCCTCTTCCTTCAACCATCTGTCTTTTCTTTATGTTTATTTACAGTTCTTGCCCTCTTGTCTTTTGAAATCAGTTCTCTCAAATTAGAAAATGTACTTTATTAAGTAATGTCAAGACAAAAAAACTAAATCTCAAATAAAGAAGATTAAATAGCTACAATATTATCTAAGCTACTACTCTTAAATAACATTTCTAGCATTGCAACTTATTTTCTAAGATTTTTCTACTTTGTAGCCGTTTTCATAAAGTATCATCCAAGCGAACTGCTTTTACTAAATTTTCACATTATCCTCTTGTTTTTTTATTTAATTATTTAGACAAAATAGTCTAATTAATAGTCTTATTGATGGATATTGTTTTATGATTTATTAATGTTTTTTCATTCGTGACACTGCCACTCATTTGAAATGACAGTACTTCAGTCACTTTTTTTATAATAATTCTCTATTTCTTATAGATCATCATTTATTCTAAAAGAGAAACTAAAAATCTTTCCTCTCTTGGCTTTGGGTTCATCCAGTTTTCACCACCCTCTTTTACCTCTCCATACCTCCTTGAGACATTTAGTCATATGCTGCTAGAACTAAACCAGAAATAGAAAGGAGTACAGCAGCCTCAACTATCATTCCTTAGGCCCTCAAGATTTCTCCTGGACTGGTTCAATTCTTTCCACTACCAACCACAATTTTGATCGTAAAATATCAAAGCATTTAGCAGGCTGATTCTTAGACTCCCACCAAAAAAATTACATAAAGAAAGCTGATCAGAAAAAACCCTGATCAGGAACCTTAGTGGCTGGGCCTCAGACATTAGGGCTGCTTCCTCGTGATTGGTCAGCTGGGGCTCAGAAGAATGGAATTTTTTTTTTTAAGAAGAGCAACCTTTTATCCTAGTCAAAGTAAACAAGGTAAAACAGCTCAGCCCATTGTTTTTTCCTTGCAAGTTCTTACCATCTTGTATTTCTAGATTATAGCCCAGAAATATGGGAAGTAGGGCATGCCCTACTCCTGCCTACTCAAGCCCAGGAAGTCAGAGATCCTGGACCTCTGGGTCCCCCGTGCTTTTTTGCTTTTGTTTCATTTTCTGAACACAGGCCAGAGACCAGAATTGCTAAGAAGAGATTTTCCATGCCCAAGATCCCAGTAAGATAAGGGCACTGATGAGGTCTTAAATTTGATTGTTCACATGCCAGTCTCTCAAAGGAAGATTCCTTATCAATAGTGTGAATAAGTATCATTCTACAATTAAAAAGACTGAAGACACGCAAGGGGGGGCAAAAGACAGGAGACACAAAAATATGGACCCTGCCAAAATGTTTCTACTAAGTTGCTCAGACAGTACAGAATAATTCAGCAAACCCTCAAAGTATCTGGACCTTCTGAAGTCTACAAGGCTATCTGAGTGCTTTACGTTTTTGTATTTATTAATGGACTCCACAACTGGAAAAAAAAGGCACTTATTAAGTGCTAACTATGTATCAAGTACTGGGAATGTAAACACAAGCAAGGAAGACAATCCTACACTTAAAGAATGTATATTCTTGGGGCAGGTAGGTGGCGCAGTGGATAGACTACTGGCCCTGGATTCAGGAGGACCTGAGTTCAAATCCAGCCTCAGACACATAACACTTACTAGCTGTGTGACCTTGGGCAAGTCACTTAACCCCACTGCCTAGCCAAAAAAAAAAAAAAAAAGAATGTATATTCTAAGAAAAGAAGAGAATACACAGAAGGGGAATTGAGGCAAAGGAAAAGTGTCCTAGAAAGAGAAGTCAGAGAAGTCAATCAATGAGAAGTCAATTAATGATGACTAAAATAACAGGACAATTGATTAACACATCATTCCAGGAATGGTAGAATTTATTCAGTTACTGTTCTCAAAGCCAGAGCAGGAAAGGAGGAAGAAAGGAAGGAAAATAGGACACACACAATGGTGTGACACAAAGATGGTCAAAAATGACAGGCAAGATAAAGTAAAAGTTCATCCATCAGAGCCTGGAACTCAGGAGTAGGAGCTAGAATATCAGGTAGAGGTGGAGCCCTAAGCACAGGCCTGGGTGAAAAAAAGGCAATCCTCTATCTTACACCCATATATTGTACAGCAAGTGTTTATGTAGGAGGTGGGGACTCTATTACACACTTCTAGGTAAATCTAGAAATAAACCCTCTCTAAGCTTTAACAATGGGGGACAACCTTCCCTCTCCTACCACCTCCCCAAATTATATTCAAATCAAATGAATTTGGGGAGACGGCATCAGGGGTAAAAATATGCCACTACTTAATAGCAAAATATTTGCCAACATATGACAAATTTCCTGTTAAGTGGGCATTTAAAAAAAAAAAACTAAACCCTTTGATCACTCATTTATAGGTAAATAATAGTTATCATTCATTTTTTAGGTGAAAAGAAAATATGAATTGTCTCTAATCCACTTCATTAGGATTCAAAACTCTGCATTCAATCATTCAACCTCCAAATATTTCCTGAGAGTTTCTTCTAGACATAAAGGCATTATGTTGACAAATTGTGGAAAGTAAAAATTAGGAATTTAAATAGAGGAAGGAAATAGAGTATGGATCTCCAAAATACAGCTCCTTAGCAGGAATAAGAAAATGCTGCATCAGTCTTAAGCTTCTTATAATACAGCTTAGATAATCCAACTTTAATACCATCATTGAATGTTACATTCAGAAGTCTTTGTAACACATAAAGAAAAAGATTAAAAAGGCTGCATTTTCTTAACAAAGATAAGCATGTACTTACTGCTGTAAAATCAGTCTTCAATTCAACCACTTTACTTAGGTCAGGAATTGCTGCTTTAGATTTGCCCATGGCTAAATAAACAGTAGCTCTCCGATAATAAGCAATATAGTTGTCTGGATCACCATCTACAAATAAATGTAATATAAATTCAAATAATTTATTTCATAGTAAATGCATTCTACAATGAAAACTGAGCAACTAAAAGTTTAAGGGCTTATATATCTACTGAAAATGATGCCATAGCAAGGTTTTGTGATTAGGAATGGGTAGAGTCACTCAGTAGTAACAAGACAAGCTAATTTAAAATTTTCACTTCAGTTAAATCCCATTACAAGGGAGATAATCCTAATTCTTTTTTGTGGTAGAATTTTCACTTACTAAATATTGCTTAAATGGGGTTATTGGCAATATTTGTTATGATATGCTATATAATAACAGAATAGCCAAACCAGAGTAAAGCATCAAAACTAACCAATTTAAAGTTTGCCCTTTCACTCTTTATCACCTCGCCCTCTTTTTTAGGTATGCCACTTTATCCTACCAAAAAAAAAAAAAAGGTAACAAAATGACCAGAAACTAAAATTACTAAAATGTGGGTAAACAAGAAAGGGAGGGTAGGGAGGCTAGATATCTAACTGATCCACTATTTGCATAATAAGTACCTTTCTAGCATCAGAGTCAGCAAACATTTATTAAGTGCCTACTATGTGCCAGGCACTATTCTCAAGAGCTGAGGATACAAGTAAAGGCATAAAACAGCTCTAGCCTAAAGGAGCTCACAATCTAATGGGTTAAGACAACATCTAGAAAGAAATTGAAAAGGAGAGAAGTTTGGGGAAGCAGGTAAGTTACCCAACATAAGGTATGAAGTCCTGCAGTTGGGCAAGGAAATGATCTGAGAAGCTGAGAATTTCATAGTTGATTTTATCTTGCAGAATAATGAATTTCTAGAGATCATAAAATTCAGGAAAGGAGCCAGGTGGGAAAGGATGAGAAGACTTCCCAGAAATCCCTCCTTACATAGTGGAGGGTCAGGAAGGAGATCTCTGGGAAGGAGGCAAGATGGTTGAGTAAAAGCAGGGACTCGATTGAGCTTTCCCCTAAACCCCTCCAAATACCTGTAAAAAAATGAGTCTGAACAAATTTTAGAGCAGCAGAACCACAAAAAGAAAGAGTGAAACAAATTTCCAGCCTAAGACAACCTGGATGGTCCATGGGAAAGATCTCCTGTGATGGGCTAGGAGCAGCTGGCCAGAACAGGTCTCAGGAGACTGAATCATTAACAGCTGTAATAGTTTCCAGACTTCTCTGTTGGATGCAGGTGAGAGAGGAGCACAGGCCAGTCCCAGCCCCAGTACAGCCCCAAGTCTGTGGCTGAGGTGGTGGTGGAGCAACAGTGGCTGCTGCTTCCAGACCTCTCAGCCTACAGACATTAAGGGGATCGAATCACTGATCAGAAGGAAATTACAGGGGTCTCTTTGCTGGCACTGCGGCAGGATTCTGTTGCATTGCCTATACTTAAAGCTGGGTCGTAGTCCTGGGTGGCAGTCCTGGAGCAAGGAGGAGCATTAGCATAGCAGAGCTTGTGGCAGCAGTGGAGACTAGATTCACAGACTAGAGCATAGTCCAGGAGAGGACTAAACACCTCTCCTTAGAGCATACTACCTTGGAAGAACTGAAAACTTACAGGTCCCTAGTATCTCTGAAAATAGCTACACAAAACTGCTGAAGCTTGGGACAGTACACCCGAGCCACACTGGAAGCAGAGCCCTACCTAAACAAAGTTAAAAAGTCAAGTAATTGGCTGGGAAAACCAGCAAACAGCAGAAAAAAACTCAGACAACAGAATCGTACTTTGGTGACAAGGAAGATCAAAATATACAATCTGAAGAAGAACAAAGTCAAAGCTCCTATATCCAAATCCTCCAAGAAAAATCTGAATTGGTCTCAGGTCAATGGAAGAGCTCAAAAAGGATTTTGAAAAGCAAGTAAAAGAAGAAGAGGAAAATTGGGAAGAGAAATGAGAGTGATGCAAGAAAAACAAGTCAACAGCTTGCTGAAGAAGACCCAACAAAATACTGAAGAAAATAACACTTTAAAAAATAGACTAGACCAAATGGCAAAAGAGGTCCAAAAAGCCAATGAGGAAAAGATTGCCTTAAAAAGCAGAATTGACCAAATGGAAAAGGAAGTCCAAAAGTTCGCTGAAAAAAAATAATTCCTGAAAAATTAGAATGGAGCAAATGGAAGCTAATGACTAGATGAGAAATCAAGAAATTATAAAACAAAACCAAAAGAATGAAAAAAAAATAGAAGACAATGTGAAATATCTCATTGGAAGAAGAAGCTCTCCAATGTCTACCCTCCACATTGTCCAATCAGCATCTAGCCTCTCTAATCAGTAGGAAGAAAGGATAGCAGGAGCAAGAGGACTAAATAAAAGTTGACAGTATAAAGAAAAGGAAAGTGGATTCTTTTTTTTAACTTCTCAGTCTATTTTTTAATTAATTAATTTATTCGTAGTTTTCAACATTCACTTCCATAAGATTTTGAATTCTAAATTTTCTCCCCCTCCCCAAGACAGTGCGCAATGATATTGGCTCTACATATACTTTCACATTAGTCATGTTTTAACGAAGAATTAGAACCAATGGGAGGAACCACAAGAAAGAACAAACAAAAAAAAGAGAGAGAGCAAATGGTATGCTTCGATCTGCATTGGGACTCCATAGTTCTTTCTCTGGGTGTGGATAGTGTTTTCCAACATGAGACCTTAGATCGTTGCATTGCTGAGAAGACCTAAGTCTATCCAAGTCAGTTATCGCACAATGTGGCTGTTACTGTTTACAACGTTCTCCTGGTTCTGCTCACTTCACTCAGCTGACATCAGTTCTTGTAAATCTTTCCAAGTTTTTCTGAAGTCTGCTCATCATTTCTATGGAACAATAGTATTCCATTGCATTCACATACCACAACTTACTCAGTCATTCCCCAATTGATGGACATCCCCTCAATTTCCAGTTCTTGGCCACCACAAAAAGAGCTGTTATAAATATTTTTGCGCATATAGGTCCTTTTCCCATTTTTATGATCTCTTTGGGATACAAACGTAGAAGTGGTACTGCTGGGTCAAAGGGTATGCACAGTTTTATAGCCCTTTAGGCATAATTCCAAATTGCTCTCCAGAATGGCTGCATCAGTTCATAACTTCACCAACAATGCATTAGTGTTCCAATTAGGAAAGTCTCTTCTTAATACAGTTTGGATAATGCATATTATAGATATTAGTCAACTGTCAATGAAGGCACTTCTGTAGCATCCCAATTTTTTTTTTCCTCTTATTAACCTAGCAGAGTCCTCAAATCATTTGCTGGCTGGTGCATCCTATTCCCATAAAGGGAAGGGAATTCTTATTAAACACTTAGCAAATATTTTCCCCTCAGGGCTTTGTTAAAACGTTCATTAGAATTGAAAGTGGCAACTTTACTTTTAGTAAGGTCTTCATTGTATACCATTAATATAAACTACACAATGCTATGTTTGGTTGTCTATAAAAACATAAGATAACTTGATAAAACTGAGTTATTTTCAATTCCACCAAGATTATCAAACCAACTGTTAATGCAATATTACAAAGCCATGATAAAAGCATTTGGAATGTTCTGGAATGAATTCATATCATAAAGGCAAACAAACAAAAAAGAAGATAGCCATTTTTAAGTGCTCATAGTTTTAATTCCATTATCCCTTATCCTTTTTTCTATGTTGGATCAGGGGATTTAGAGCTAGAATTAAATGAGAAGATATAGATGAAAACATTCTAAGAAATTTTAAAGGTATTCTTCTTCAAAAGGTGTAATGTGTGCAGTGGATAGAGCACCAGCCCTGAAGTCAGGAGGACCTGAGTTCAAATCCGGCCTCAGACCAAACACTTGACACTTACTAGCTGTGTGACCCTGGACAAGTCACTTAATCCCAACTGCCTTAAAAAAAAAAAGTGTAAGAATTCTGAGCAGACAATCAGAAGAACCCAGCTCCACCATCAACTAAGTAGCTGTGAGAGCCTAGCAAGTCTCTTAACCTTTCTGTCTCAATTCCAAAAGTGTTAAGTAAATGTAAAATATTAAATATTTCTTCATTCTTACTTCAATGTAACTAAAAATAATTGTTATTGGTATCCTAACATCCCAAAACATAAAGTCTTTTACTTGATAGATACAGACCCAAATGTATTCATTTCAGTCCAATCAAGATAAATAAACACAACACATACAAAACACACACACACACACAGAAACGGTTGCTGCCTATTCAATTCTAGGTCTCCACACCTGGATTACAATTTTTACTAATGATACACCTTGATTAAGCATGTTATGTTTGACTATCTCATCAATGATAGATGCTGCTGTTTCTTAAGACTCTTTCAAAGCTGACACCTGCTACTTGCATAAATCATAGATTAAAGATCAAATTAAAGATCAAAAATGCCAATCACTTATTTCCCATTTTGAGAGGCCTAATCTGGAACTATACACTAAGGATAAAAACTGTACAAACCAAACCATTTTAGATATCTGTACCCACAAAATCATGAAAACTTTTTATGTGGTGATATGTAAGATGAACTTTTCTGGCTAAAAGTCTTATCCTAAAATTTACCCATACCCAAAGAGTACATTTTCACCAAAGAAAACTGCTGAGAGGACATAAAGTCCATATAAAACACCAATTTAAACTCTATAATCAAAATAAACTATTTGCAGTTGCTAATACTATGTTGCCAATGTCAACATCACTTTCTAATCAAGGGAGGAAGCACCAGAAAAAAAGGGGGTGGGGGGAGAATATATCTGGGAATTAAAAAAAACAGAATCCCAGTATCTGAGTTCCTTCTGAATGGCAAGGGACCTGAACAAGAATCTCCTTGACAACAAGCTTGAAAAGTAATTGTTCACCCTTTGATTAAAGGGCTCTAGCAAGGGAGAACCCACTACCTACTGAAGCAGCCCGTTTTACCTTTGGGTAGCTCTAATTATTAGGAAATTTTTCCTTATAGCAAAATCTGCCTCTTCCATTTCCACTCATTGCTCCTATTTCTGGGTCATGCAAAACAAATCTAATC